CCAATGGCACGGTCCTGTACGCACTCAGGTGAGCAAGCATCTGGGACTCTGGAATTGGAGGAAAAGACACGCACACACATATAAGAGGAAAGACATGTATATCCTGAGTACTTCTGACCAGCACCAAAGGGCCATCCTGAACCCCCATTCCTCACAAGTTCCTCTGTTTTATACCCTACAGCCATTCAGAAGGGCTTCCCTCAGTACAGCCTGACTACAGATGCATCTTCTGAGCAACTGCTCAGTGACAGGCCCCATGCAGCATACTAAGGAAAAGCTAAGTGAAACAGACAGGTTCCTGAGAGTACAGGATGTAAACAAAGGAAGTATTGGGTGCCAGGATCCAAGCTGGGGCATAGGTTAATGGCTAGCGGTGGAATTAGAATATGCTTTTGTAGGATTGTAAACTGGACCTTTAAGGGCAAAGAAAGTTAGCAGAAAAAGAAGAGTGTTAGAGAGATAGCATGGGGACCTTGAGTTCAGAGTCCCGGTGCCGGTATAAAATAAAAGCTGAGCCTAAAGACATGCATCTAAAACCCCCATGCTGTGGGATAGAGACAGCAGATCTTGGGATTTACTAACCATCCAGTCTAGCCCTAAGCTGTAAGCTCCCAGGTTCAATGAAAAACTAAGTCTTAGAAGAAAAGAATAATAGGGTGAGGACCAGCTGGCTTCCTGAATAAAATGCTTGCTGCCCAGGTGTGAGGATGAGAGTTCTAAGCCCTACCAATCATGGCAGCCCACCTGTGCATTTGGCCTTTGGGAGATGGAGATCTTTAGGGAAAGATTTTTTTCTAAACTACCCAAAACTGTGAGATCTGGGGTCACTTAGAGACCCTGCCTCAATGTATAAGGTGTAGAGTGATTGAGGAAGACACTCAACCTCTGGCCCACACACACATGCACACACACACATATAGGTGCCTCCACACACATGTATACACACATACAGGTGCTTGCACACCCTCACACATATGCACCCACAGATGTGAAGAAATGCACAAATATACACATACATATACACTAATAAGTAATCAAGGAAGATATCCCACCACCTGGTCTCCACACTAATCCACAAGGGCAAGCACACCTGACATGCACACACACACAAACACAGAGAGAGGGGGGGGAGGGAAGGAAGACAAGGAAGGGTAAAGACATGAGCAAAAAGAAGCCTATGTAAGGAATTTGCCTTTCACAGGGCTCAGTGGAGCAGGGTATCTCCACATCTCTGCTTGTCTGAAACATGTTTATACAAAGAAGCAAGGCATGTGTCTCAAAAACTACCTTCTTGCAGCTACAGGCCACAACCCCAAATTGTCAAGGCCTAAAGTTCCTTCACAGTGGTTGGAAAGAGGATCCCTGAGTGTATATAAGGCAGACAGTCCACAAGAAGGATTTATCCTGTGCAAGGGCTGTGCACACTTGAACTCCCTGAGTCCCTGGGGAGCAGACCAGGTAGTAAATATGAATACACCGACCTTTAATCACAAGAAAGTCTTGAAGTTATAAGCAAGGACTGAACTAGCAAATAGCATTTCTGGGCATGCCTCAGCAGCACTGCACTTTAAAGAGACTAGCCCAAATCCCAACTCCTCTTTCAAGAAGCCTAATTCTCCATTGATTGCCAATCTACATATTCCCTCCATGCTTCCACAGGAACCTGTTGGCACAGTAGGTGTGTTCATATAAACTTGTGTACCTGGGAGTGTGCATCTATTCTGTATTACAACATGTAGTACAATCAGCCTGGGGAAGAATTTAAGAATCACCAATGAATCAGAGTTGATAAACAAGTTGCCACTAGACTTTTTAAAATGGTTTTTCAAGGCAGGGTTTCTCTGTGTATCCATGGCTGTCCTGGAACTCACTCTGTAGACCAGGCTGGTCTCAAACTCACAGAGATCCACCTGCCTCTACCTCCCAAGTGCTGGAAATAAAAGTGTGTGTCACCTCCAGCTGGCTGCCACTAGACTCTTGTCCTAAACAGCTCTGTGAACTTGGACAAGTTACCAGGCCCTCTGAGCCTCAGTTTCCTCAAAAACAAAGTGAGAAGATTAGCAGTTCTTATATCATAGAGCTATTTGAAGGGACAACTTATGTGACATCCTCAGCACAGAGACTGGCTTGCAGTAAGCAAGCAGTGGCCAGTGGTTGTTTTTCTCTGTCTCCCTTAAAGGGATGTAGAGCTCCATCAAGTTGGACACTATGCTAGAACAAACACATCTGCCTCCTAGATGTACCCAGCACTGTACTTCATATATCAGAGACCTACTAAAAATGGGTGAATGGAAGAAAGGAAGATAAAGGCCTGACTTTTAAAGTCTCCACTGTGAGGACTCCACTGGTGTCTTGTTGAGCATCCTGGGGTGAATCTGAGAGCTGTGAGCTGTAGTACCCAGTACCCTCTGGGTTCTTTACATCCTGATCCCATCAAGGATCCAGGACACCAGGACTCCTGTTACACCTCTGCTACTCAGAGCCTTGCGTGCCTAAGCAAGTCGAGTGATCACTGTTGCAGACCTACAAAGAGTTGCCATTGAAAACCTAAGTGCAAAAGCATCTCCAGAAAGAGGAAGTGGACACAAAGTCCCACTCCCAACCAAGATGCTATGTGTAATTGGTAGCTGCTGGGGGTGGGAATCACTTTTCTCTAATGGAGTGACATTATATCAACCATACTTCAGAGTAGGCCTCATGTTCAGGAATAGTTGGTCCACACAAAACAGGTTCCGTGGGATGTGTTTTGTTTTGTTTTGTTCTATGTGATTTGTTGTTGTCATCTTGGTTTGGGGTTTGGGTACTTATTTGCTTAGGAGATTTGATTCAGAGAGAGAGAGAGAGAGAGAGAGAGAGAGAGAGAGAGAGAGAGAGAGAGAGAACATGAAGTTGGGTGAGTACAAAGTGAGGATTATCTGGGAATAGTTGGGGTAAAAGAAAGAATATAATCAAAATAGATTGTATAAATTACAATTTTTACAAAGCATCTTCAGAGGCTAGAGATGACTCAGCCCTTACGAGCACTTGCTGCTCTTGCAGAGGACCTGGGTTGGTTTGGTTCCCAGCACCCACATGATGGCTCACAACCATTCTTAACTCCAGTTCCAAAGGACCCAATATCCTGAAACACTTAAAATAAATTGAATAAAGTTAAAAATATTTTTTAAAACACCTTCGGTACAATGGTGAATGACGCTGAACAGATTGATTCTGTTCTGTAACGCTGTGGATGTTTGCCTCTGAGTTGCCAGCATTCCAGCTTCTTCTACTTTGGATCCAGCTTTAACTGGGTCTGATGAGTGTTGTTGAGCACAGAAAACCTCAGGAATGCTTGGATGCAGGCTCCAAGCCACATGTCCCCGCAAGAGTCTGAGAAAAAGTCCTCTTGGAGCAGCCCTCAGGAAGAAATGTGAACTTCATCTCTTCCTCACAGCACTCTTTCTGAGTCCATTTCTTTTCTTTTTTCTTTTTTGTTTGTTTGTTTTTTAGAATCACAACAACTGTTACATGTAACATGGACCTATCTAAATACCCTATGGACACACAGACCTGCAAGTTGCAGCTAGAGAGCTGTGAGTATACATCCTGAAGTCACCCGCATGACTTTCTTGGGTGACCTCCATCTCTGTTTTTGCAGAATACCCCATATCCTATGAGCTTTCTTTCTTTATGCTGATCCATGATGGATTGAGCCATTCTGCCTATATATCCAGATAGATTCAGATTCTTTCAAAGGCAAACTGTGTAACATTGCATCTTTGGGGGAGGACCGTTCTGCACTAGTACCAAATATCTCCAGCCACAAGTAGAGAGATGACTGAAGAAAATGCTTTAACATAACTGATGTGTAGATCATGGCCAGCACACTGCATTAATCTGCCAAATTGGGCCCATCACCTGTTTCTGGAAGGAGTTGTATTATAGCAGAGTGATGGCCATTCATTTGCAGATTGTCTATGGTTGCTGTCACACTGTAATAACAGAACTGAGTATTTGTGATAGAGACTGTATTGTCCACAAAGCCTAAAATAACAACATTCTTCATCACTACAGAACTTTTAGGAGCCTCCAAGAGCTAATTCCATGTGAAATTCCAAGAATTCCCAGACTCACATAGCCACGGAATCTTATTTCATGGATATTTCTATGGCTATGACCTTTAGCCACCCATCTACTCTTGCCCTACCAAAACCAAATCAACCCCAGATCCCTATAAAAGCTGATGCAGATGTCTTGAGCCTCATCAACCCCATTTCCATTTGTTATTAAATATGCCTTAGGTTACCATTTAAAGCCCAGAAGGCCTCAAAAGGTTTCCTTACTTTTCCTAATAGAAATGTGCTGGCTTCTAGCTAAACCTTGCTATGCAACTACAGAGAAAGTAGGGAAGCTAGCTGGAAAAATGACTATAGGAGGGACAACTAATGTTATGACCCCAGTCTGCCTTTGCCCTGGTAACCTTGACCAAATCATTTTTCCATTGGCAGCCATGAAGATAATAAATAATAGGATATTTTCCTGATAAATAGTGTTACATCCACGTGCCAAGCACTCTCATAGACACCTTCCAAACAAACCCTTAAGTGTTGTTTTCCCACCTTATGATTATAGAAATTGAGGCACATCACAATTTAGCATTTTTCTAAATGGACCTGGGAAGCAGAATCAGTGGGTCTGGAGCCCAGGGAGAGGGGACAACAGTTCCAAGAGCTCTTCTACTGGCCAGAGCCCCATGAAGATTTTGTTTCAGTGGCTTGGTTGTTTGGTATCTGGGCTATCCATTTCTCCCTATATACCATAACATGCTTTCAAGCAATTGTATGGGATTTCTAGGTTCTTAAGCACCAATTAATAATCACCATTTTCCCGAAAAACGAGGGACCATGTAGTGCTTGATTGAGATTCCCAAAGCCTGCCAAATGCTAAGCTGAAATATAGTATGACTATCAGATGGCAGTCTGAAGCTTCTTCCATGCCAGTTCCTCTTGGTTACTTAGGACCAAGGCCAGTGTTTTTCCTTTCCCCTGTGTCTTAAGGAAAATATTTTGACTCAGTCTAATACTTCAGTTCTACATATTTTCCCACTAAAGTCTCCAGCTAGTCTGGATGGCTGGTTGAGTTCCATCTGCCTACTCTCAGTTCATCAATTCAGCAACTACATGCCTGTTCTGTGTTAAATGCCATGGTGAATATTGACAGTACAAAGATAAAATGATCCACCAGTCTTCAAGAAGTATACCACCTTATAGAGAACACGGGACTTAAAATAATCATGAAATAGAACTCACTGTGTAGAGAATGCTGGCCTAGAACTCACTGAGATCTGCCTGTCTCTGCTTTAATCCCAAATGCTGCAATTAAAGGAGTGTAATACACTGTCCCACCTTAAAAAATAATCATGAAAGAATAAATGATAACAATAAAAAGTAATGCCACCATGAAAACCTGCTGGGGAGTCAGAGATACCCAGAGAGAACTGCCACCTGAAGTCAGAGGAGGGATCAGTTCCAGCTGGCTAAGTGGACAAAAAAACAGGGCACAGTACCACAGAAACAAGAAGAAACAGAGCAAAGGTTAGTAAGGAGCAAATGGGAGCTGGGGCATATGGTGGGTGGGAGGCACAGAGTGCTTGCCTAGCATGTGAAAGGCTCTGAGGTAGAAAAGCCAAATATCCAAATCAATCACTGATGGTTGTGATACAGCTGCCTCCAACACATAAAGGACCTTACTTGGTATATATAAAGCTTTGTATAGTGTCATGGGTAAATGAGCATCTAAATCATAACCTGGGTATTTCCTATAATGGAAAATGAGGGTTCACTCTAAATGAATGTAGGTTAAATCAATTCCTTGGGGTTGTTAAACAGTCTTCATTATTTCTTAGTATGAATTTTGAATGTCCCCCAAACTTGAGCACCTTTGATAGGGAAATAATGCCACAGATATGATTCATTAAGGCATCAAAGTGGAAAACAGCTATAGACAAGTCTTGGGAACCACTGGGTACTCTATACTTAAGGCAATGCCAGGAAAAAAAGAACTATTATGAGAAGAAGCCATTTTTCAGAAGTACACATTTAATTAAAAACTTAGGCAGATTAATTATCCTATTGATTCTGTGCATGCAAACCCTTGTTGAAGGAATGCAGCTGTTTGGTAGCAGAATTCGACTTGAGGTTATCAAAAAGAGAAGTCATTCGGGGGGTAGCACAGTAGAAATAATTGTCCTCCCTGTGTCATGGCTGGGCTCATCCCAAAGCCCAGGAGCAAGATTCTCCAAGAAACTTCAGCACTCTGTGTGCACAGATACTATCCCAAAGGAGCGGAGGAAGCTTCCACGGGCTGCTTATTAGCAGGCATTTAGGTATTAAAAACCTCACTAAGATTTGCTTTTTCCCTATATGCTACCACTAAAAAAATATTGATATTATCTTAATCTCCCACATTCACCCAGAGACAGTGGTAGCAAATAAAAACTGTGGACCTCTACTAGGGGTAAAACAAAGTACCCAGGTAGAAACTTGCTCTCCTTATTTTCTTAGAGATGTCTTCATTACTTTGGGATTCCAATCTAATTTCAGTGGCTATCTTCCACTCATTTTCTGTTATTCCAAAGGAAAACTCACACTTTATCTGGACCCCAAGGAGCTCAGGCATTATAAGATAAAGCCTGCTAGATATTGACTTCCATAAGGATTCTTCTTAGCACAGTATTGGTCCCAACATCAGCATCATAGTCTCATTCCTTTGAAGGAATGACAAGAGATGCTTGAATTTATGACCACAGGTACTGGAATCATATGGCAACATCACTAGCTGTATGATTTTGGCTAAGAAACCTCTCTGCGTCTACGTTTCCTACTCCTTGAAATGGAAAAAGTAACAGTACTTGGCTCAATAAGTTGCCTTCTATATATGTTGGATTTATTAAGCTATAATGCATGCACCATAAAATTCACCCATTTTTAAGTATGTGATTGAAAGTTTTTGGTAAACTTACCATGGTATGTAGCCATAGGCAGTATGCATTGTTGGAACATTCCCAACACCCCCAAAAAAGATCCCTTGTGCTTATTGTGATTAGCCCAATTTCCTACCACCAACTCCCAGGTACCACTTACATTCTGCCATTATGGATTTGTCTCTCCTGAACATTTCATATAAGTAAAATCAATATGATCTGTTCCCTTTTGCATCTGGCTTTTCTACAGAATGCTGTGGCATGTTATCAGTACTTCATTCCTTTTTATTGTTCAGTACCATTTCTTTCCAGCTTTTTCAGTTGGTGGGCTTTTGGTTCACTCACATCTGGCCATTGTACATCATGCTGCTGCGACTATTTCTACACCAGTCTTTCTGTGACTGGCACTTCATTCCTCTCAAGTAAATACCTTGGAATAGAATTCTGATTCAAGTGATACATTTATTATTTAGGTTTTTAGTTTTGCTTCCCAAAGTGATTGTATATCTTACATTCCCACCAGTACAGTTCCAGTTTGTCAATATATTTTCTCATCTCTTCCTTATTATCACTATCTTAACAAGCATGAAGTGGTATGTGGTTTTGCTTTGCATCTTCCTAGTGACTGATGAAATTGAGTCTATTTTTTGTGCTCTTAACTATGAACACATCTTCTCAACAAGGATTAGAGGAGATGATAATGTCGAAGGCACCTAGGAATTGCTTACTGAGTAATAGATACTACATTATCACCAACATCCATGGACTTTGAGATTAAGCTTTTCAGAGAGAGGCACAGTGCTGGCTTTTGTCTATTATTTGCCTATACTCTGAGAAAGTTATGAAACCCCTTTAAAATCTGAGCGTTTTCACATGTAATGGGCAAATGATTCCTCTAGTCTAAGGTATAGTATCTAGTGAATAAGCACATTTTAGGAGAAAATGCTACTTCACAATGCTACTTCACATGCATAAACTGATAGTAAGATCCATCACAATTTCAGAAATGTAAAAACAAAAGTCAATCTTAATATTGAAGAATCACAGAAGTATCTATAGGACTGTGAGAACTTTAGAGATTTGTATTGTGTAAAGGATAATACAAATGGCTCATAAAAGGTAACTGTTATCACTACCATCAACTGATATTAGTAAAGCCAACATTTATCAAAAGCACATATTGACAGAAATTCATAAAGTGGATGGCTACAGGATTTTTTTATTTTGGCATTTATAGCAATGAGAATATGAATAGAACCCTTCCAAAGTCCCAGACAGCATTATCCAAGCTTAGACTGCTCTGAAAGACAGACTCTAACATGGGTCTCTTTGTGGTAACATGCTTAATAAGTATCATTCAGTAGTGAAGGAGGCCATTTTTATCATCCACAAGCCTTGGACAATGCTTAGCATAAAACTACTTCTCAACCAGTCAAAAATGGTCCTAGCAAAAGATTTCATTCTGCTATGCTTAAGAAATCTAGCCAATTTTTGCAGGACATGCTCCTTTAGACTTAATACCATCAGAATAGAGCTCTTGCTGTGTCTACTCTGTGTCGTTTCTCAAACCAGCTAAGTCTGCAGCATCCTTGCACTGACCAGGGCTCACTTTCATTTGCCAGGGGGATACGATGGCAATGATGTGGAGTTCACCTGGCTGAGAGGGAATGATTCTGTACGTGGGCTTGAAAGCTTGCGCCTTGCTCAATACACCATCCAACAGTATTTCACCTTGGTCACTGTATCCCAGCAGGAGACAGGTAACTCTTGTGAACCATCACACAGAATAAAAATACTTAAAGAAAAGGTCACCATCTGAGTCATAAGAAGCATGACCTCTGCCTCTACTCCTGTGGAGTGCAAGCATTCTGTAGTGGTGTAGAGTAGGGGAAGGGAAACGGGCATGGAACCTGAGCATCTGTGGACTCTACACTCAGGAGGGACATGGTCTGCTGGAGAGTAACCCTTTAGGAAAACACTGAATCTTAGCTGGTCCTTCCAGGATTTTCTAATAACTGTTCAAATGCAGCACTCCCTTGTGCACAAAAAGTCACTCATGTGTTCTAAAGAGTACACTGGTCACTGAAGAATGAAGTTAAGAAAGTGCTCACAGGTAAAGAAGACAGTAGCAATACCACATGACTACTTCATTAATGAAAGTATCCATTCATCATGAACAGAGCCAGACCTCTGAGAATTGGTGGTTTTAAATAGATTTGGGGGGTTGTTGTTGTTTTGTTTTGGTTTTGGTGTTTCAAGATAAGGTTTCTCTGTGTAGCCCTGACTGTCCTGGAACTTGCTCTGTAGACAGGATGTCCTCAAATTCATGTAGATCTGACTGCCTCTGCCTTCCTAGTGCTGGGACTAAAGGTGTGTGACACCATGCCTGACTTAGTTATTTTCTAAATGACATGATTTTACATACAAGCAATGGCATTTTCTTCTCCATTCTTCATGGCCAAGTTGGAATGCTTCATTTCATCAACATTTATACTCTTTAAAACATTTCCATGTACTCTAGTTGAGTCTAAATGACTTTGAAAATTAAATGTATGCCAAAACTGTGCCTAGAAAAAAAGACAGGAAAGAAATGACAGCTCCCTATTGTTCATATTCCCTGCAGGCAGCATGTATACATAGGTAATTTCCTAAGCATGGTCCTGAAGTGATACCTCTGTAATCAACAAAAAATAAACTATTGGGGCTGGGTGGATAGCTCAGACAATAAAGTGCTTCCTTGTGAGCATGAGGACTCGACTTCAATTCCCAGAACTCACTGGGGGAAGGGGGAAGCTGGATACACCACTTGTACTTCCAGTACCAGAGAGGCAAAGACAGTGGAACTCTGAGGCTCGCTGGCCAGCACCTAGCCTACTCAGCAAGCTCCAGGCCAGTAAGAAATTCTGTCTCAAACAAAAAGGTAGATGATGCCTGAGCAACAGCATCCCAAACTGCATTCTGGTCTCCACAAACATTTGCACACACACATGCATATACACAAAAATGAAATTGCATTTAATGGGCCTATTCTACAGTAATCTAGAAAAACAATGGACTGTCTTAAGTAATCTTCATTAAACAGGTATTTATTAACAACTTACCATATAAATGCAAAACTGAGAGACACAGTTTGCCCCCTTGGGGTTCACAGTCTAATGAGCTAGATGTTAAGAAAATTGGTGCTTGCAATACTGAAGGAATGCTTTGATAAATTAAGGCATGAGAAGAAAAGCACAAGTGTAGGGGTTAGATAACAGCACCCCTGTAAATCTCATGCCAGGCAACACTGAGGACCTTTGTGGTAACCAGAGTGGCAGTTCATAGTTGACTAGATTTTGGTAACATAAGACTTAATATGTATGTGGTTTGGGCAACTCCTCTCCTGTGTGAACAGACACAGTTTCTTACCTCTTGTTTGCACTCTCAGGAAACTATACTCGATTGGTTTTGCAATTTGAGCTTCGGAGGAACGTTCTATATTTCATTCTGGAAACCTATGTTCCTTCCACTTTCCTGGTGGTGTTATCCTGGGTTTCATTTTGGATCTCCCTCGATTCAGTTCCTGCGAGAACCTGCATTGGTAAGAAGCTCCCCGGGACAAGTTTCTAAGGACTAGGAGAATCAGATGCGGTTTAAAATTCTATCATTATTTTCACTGACTGTGCAGGGTCATCATAAGAGTTGGTATCTTGAGAAATTCCTTTATACAGAGAGAAAAATGGGTGCAGAGATAGAGAAAAAGATCACATCAGGAGGACTGTATTGTTTAATTTGTTTTATAGTAACAGATGTGATGAGCTTATGTAAACAGTCCACTGTCGTTTACTTTATTACTGACTGTCCATCTCCAAGAGAAGAAAGATGATGACATATTTAGAAAACTATGCCACTTACATCCATTCGAGATAAATAAAAACAATCCTATTCCAGAAGGTCACAGACTTTTTGAAATGAAATCTGTTCTGTTCGTGAGTCCTGTCCTCATCTTTCCGGCTAGTGGGTGGAGCCAGATGATAGAGGATGATAGAGGCAGGGTCAAGGTACACCAGCATGGAACAGTCAGTACCTGCTTGTTTTCCCAGGAGTCACAACTGTGTTATCCATGACCACACTGATGATCGGCTCCCGCACATCCTTACCCAACACCAACTGCTTCATAAAGGCCATCGATGTGTACCTGGGGATCTGCTTTAGCTTCGTGTTTGGGGCCTTACTGGAGTATGCCGTTGCTCACTACAGCTCCTTACAGCAGATGGCAGTCAAAGATAGGGTAAGGATTTAGAGGCTGTTGTCTACGATCCATTACCTGGGTCATGCACTGCTCTGAAGAGGGGATCAGGGCTTGGTTCCCATCTCCAGAGTAATTCACTTTGGTCTAACGAATCTCATCCCTACTAAGGTGGGCACATTGGAAGGCAGGGAAACCCTTAGCCAAGGTTGTTCTTTTCACCAGATAAAATAGGATACCAAATTTTAATTTTCTAACAAAAAAACTATTATTCATATGCAACATGAGGTATAATCATAAGAACAAGCATCTAAGAAAAAGCCCGATGTCAAACTAGATATGCTTTGATGTTCACACATTTCAGATTAACACGTGGTTACTATTTAATTCTTCTGATGCAATTTTATATTCTTAATTTATACAAATAACAGCTTATTCAAAAAAAAAACATATGGAAGAAATCAACTTGTAACAAAATCCTTTGGATTATAACCTGAAACTTCTTTGTTCCCGTGCGATGTATTGTTTCCCCTTCATACAGCACTCTTTACAGCCACATTGGACCCCAAGGTTATTTGAAAACTAAATTTGATAGACATTCACTTACTGAAGCTCAAACTAAAAAACAAACGATAGGGATCTGATTCAGAAAAGTGCCACCCTAAGCAGTGTGCTATCAGAATACAGGGGTCTAATAGTGAGGATATGGCAACCAGGAGACCAGTGGCTTTGCCATTGTGTTTGGTTGCTGTGAATAATCCAAGCACCAAAGACAGAAGAGCATGTGTACCAGTCAGAGGAGAATGTGGATTTCATGTGTTTTCTTCCATATAGGCTTCCTTAATAACACACAAATTCAGATTTGTTAGAATGATAGATGAGGGATGGAGAATCCCCAAGATATTCTTCTACTGGAGCTACCAGTATGCACTCCCATTTCCTTGCATAAAACAGTAGGTGCGCTGGGGAGTATATGCTATCTCCTTTACATCTCACTGAGTATCCCAAAACTCAGGAGAATTGAACCATCTTTCTCCTTATTTTATTACTGAGAAATTTGTCCTCCAAATGATGAAGCAGCTCAGCCAAGGCCCCTATCCTGTGTCACAGGCACCTTGTTGGATAGTGGAAAGTCCCTGGATTTGCAGGGAACACAGCCCTTCTGTTTCTAGAGTGTGGCAAAGACCACATGACACAATGGGTTTATATTACCTCTCATAATCTCTTCTGGAACAGGCAAGAACTTTACCAAATATCTACTAGGTGCTTTACACAATTTATGCCATTTAATCTCCCCATTAGTCTCATGAAGGAGCAATTAATACAATTACCGTGTTGCAGACAAGGAAATCACACCTTAAAGGGATTTAAGTAACTAAAGTTTCCAGTATTAATAACAGACCAATTGAGATTTAAGCTCCGGTCTGCTACCTTCACAGCACCGTGCTCTTCACAGTATCATCCATGTACATTACTGTGTCCTGTCTTCCAAGCTAACTATTTTCTATGAACCAGGGGACAGTGAAGGAATCAGAAGATGTCAATATTACCAACATCATCAACAGCTCCATCTCCAGCTTCAAACGAAAGATCAGCTTTGCCAGCATTGAAATTTCTGGTGACAATGTCAACTACAGTGACTTGACAATGAAAGCCAGTGACAAGTTCAAGTTTGTCTTCCGAGAAAAGATAGGCAGAATTGTTGATTATTTCACAATACAAAATCCCAGCAATGTGGATCGATATTCCAAACTACTATTTCCTTTGATTTTTATGTTAGCCAATGTATTTTACTGGGCATACTACATGTATTTTTGAGATGACATTGAAGTTTTGCATGCCATATCTTTAATAGAATGACATTATAGTGTTAAAGATATTCTAGGACATGTGTAAGCCCGTTAGCCCAGAAAGCTACAAATGGGCTAAAATAATGATTATTCTAAGATGTGTAGAAGTCCTAGCATGGCAGGGTTCTATAATGGAATCACTATAAAGTGACCTTTTTCTTCTTCAGCTTTGGACAGACATCCACGGAACTCAAGATTACAAACCTACTCAGGGCTCTTTGCTCTCTGTGTCCCTGGTTTGCATTTACTGCATAAAAATGTGTATTAAGGGGGTTATTTTCTAAAGAATTCATAGTGGCATTTACTAAATCTCTGCAATGCTTAAAAGATGAATGCTTGCCAATTTAAGGAACAACGTTTTCTAATTTTTGTTTTTCCTTGAAATGAAATGTGGATTCATGCCAATTCACTGGTGGTCACCATACTGCATCAAGTCAATACCAGATGAGTTCTCTGTATTACTTAATACCACAGGAGAATTGTCCCCAAATTCCAGTAAATCCTATTATTGAGAAAGCAAATGTTAATGAATAAAATTACTGGATCAATAAACTAAAACATAAATCCTTTAATGTGGTTCCCCAAGCTTGAGGAACTCCTGGGATTTACACCATTGTTACACATATCATATTATTTTATTGTTATACACTCTTAGTCCTAAAATGTATAAAAGCTGTTTTCCCACACCAGGGAAACAGGAGGAGGTTTTGGAACTTATTTTAGGATTCTTAATACAGAACACTGCCATGAAGACTTGCTGGGTCAAGTCTATTATCTAGCCACCTTTACTCACAGACTGGCTAGGTTCCAAGTAGACCAGAGAGCGCTCTGTCAACCTGTCATTTATGTTGATCTCACATTGGGGAACATTTTGCCAGTGGCAGATCCCCCTGTATCCTTCCAGGAGGAGCTTTCATCCCTGTGCTCCAGTGACCAGGCAGAAGTGATACCTTAAATAAGGAGCCATATGACCCAGATACAAGTAGCTTGTCTCGTATAGATTCTTTCCCCCAATCCTCATTACTGGACTATGTTTTTTCTTTGACCATATATCTTTACTTCCAAGTGTTCAATGCAAAGAGTCCTTGGTCTGGTTTGAGGCCTCTGGTTTCTGCCACACTATTGATGCTGGGCCCTCAACAACTCTTCTTGGGTATCCTGTTGTTTCCCTGTGTCATGGAGGTTTTGCGTCTACAGGACCAGTCCCTTCGCACACTCCAGCAAATCACAGATGGAGTGGATAACTGGGGTGGGCCAGCCCATAACCTGGTTCTGGGCCTGGGTAGTTGCAGGGTTGATATCCTGTAAGCTCCTTGCCACCCACCCACCCCCACCCTTATCAGGGTGAGCTCTTCAGTAGCTGGACTACTTTAAGTAGCTTATCCTGCATGGTCCTGAGTCTTGAATGCTCTGAGCAGACCATGTGTTGTCTTTTCTGAGTTCAGCCAGTGTCACCCTGACCTAGGAACTCATGTATTCCTCTCCCTTGCTCCTTGGGACTCAACTATACCTGGTTCCAATTCAGCCTCAATTATTTCAAAGACTCTCACCATCCTCAGCCTTTTAGCCTTCTTTTCTAATGAATGTGTAGCTGTAATTGTCCTTTCTAAAACAAACCAGAACTTCAGATGGTCTTTGTTTTCACTTCCTTCATCCATAGGCTCTCCTTTTTGTCATCATGATACTTTTCTTCATGATTCAGTTTCTATGAGCTTGATTGTCCAGCACTTAACAAATGTTTCTACTTTAAAACTCTTTGTTCACTAGGATATACTTTGAAGCTAGGTGTAGTTGCTCCATTAGAGTTCTTAGTAAAATCTCTTTATATTTTATAATTGTCATACACATCTTTAAGGGGAGGGGTTAGGAGATGGGAAATGTGGTTAAAGGATCCAACTATATTTGTAATTTTTTATAAAAAATGTTTAAAATATAACTTCACTGAGGACTTGTCTAAGCTATTGAATAATGACAATTGTAAATATGTGAAACTATAAAATAAATGTGTCATATGAGCTACAGAGTGGTAATTATAGAGCAATGTCATGTCCCACATACAAAAGATGTATATTATAGTGCTAATTCGGGAGCCTCACACTCTTCCATGTTTCCCTCCCACCCCAAACAACACATATACACATTCACACTCAAGGAGAAAAAATGTAGTTTTATAGATGTGAGGGTATACTTTGGGAGAAAAACAGCCTTTAGATTTTAGAACCACGGTGCCCTTTGGGTAGTAGGCTACAGTATTCAAATTCCTAACAAAAACTGATAATTCCTTACATCTGCCCCAAATATTCCACCTGTCTGAGTACTATCTATATAGATTTTATTCAAAATACTTAGTTTTAGATGGAAATATCAAGAAGAATTTCATCAAATATCCAGATGAATGTAGCTAGATGGGATAAGAAATAGTCTAAGTCATAGAAGTACAATCTTTGACTATCTTGTTATTGAGAATATCAAAAGTCTCCATGCAGGGAGTTGTGTAAATATAGGAAGGCATTCAATAGCGAGTAAATGTTGCAAGGCTCATTTCAAATGGAGGCACAGAAAGTGAAGACATGAGCATGGCAAAAAGAGCTGGAGAGTGTTGCAGACCACAAGCTGCAAAGGAGTAACCATGCAGCGGGTCCCATGTGAGGAAAACAGTGCAGTGTGAGCCTTCAGTACCAGGCCAGGACAGCGATTTAGCATCAAGTTTGACATCTAAGGTTGCAAAATAATCTTTCTCCAGCGCTGGACATTACTCTTTCAGGTGCAGGGCTGTTCTCAGCTGCTGCTCCATAGTGAATTTTCATTAGTCCATGACACATTTTTGCTGCAAAAGCTCCTTAATTCTTAAAATATACATTTTAAAAATTGACTTTTAATGTACAGATAACATGATTGTCTTAATTAGGGTTTCTATTGCTGTGACCAAGCATCATGGACCAAAAAGCAAGTAAGGGAGGAAAGCGTTTATTTGGCTTACACTTCCATATTGCCATTCATCATTGGAGGAAGTCAGGACAGGAACTCTAACAGGGCAGGAACCTGGAGGCAAGAGCTGATGTAGAGATCTTGGAGGGTGCTGCTTACTGGCTTACTCCCTATAGGTCCCTCAGCCTGCTTTCTTATAGAACCCAGGACCAGCAGCCCAGGGATGGCATAACCCCCATTGATCACTAAATGAGAATGTGCCTTACATCTGGATCTCATGGAGACATTTCTTTAATTGAGGCTCCTTTCTCTGTTGCTCTCTCTAGCTTGTGTCACAAAACCAGCCAGTACTTTCTGTACCATGCCAAGGACTTAAAAAGAAAATTTTAAAATGAATAAGTTTCATCTATTATTAATTTAAATATATAAATACTAAGGGTTTGGAGAGATGGCTTCTCAGTTAATAGCACTTGCTGTTCTTGCAGAGGCTTCAGGTTCCACCCTCCAAATGGTGGCTCACAACTGGCTGTAAATCCCAGTCCCAGGGCATCTGATGCCTTTTTCCTGGCCTCCACCAGCACTACAGAAATATGATGCACACTTAAACACAGATAAAACACCCATATACATCAAATAAAAGTAATTTTAAAGCTGGAAGTAGTGTCTCACACACCTTTAATCCCAGCACTCAGGAGGCAGAGGTAGGCCTGTGAGTTTGAAGCCAGCCTGCTCTACAGAGCAAGATCCAGGACAGCCAGGGCTACATAGAGAAACCCTGTCTCAAAAATAATATTTTTTTCTGAGACAGAGATTCTCTGGAACTTGCTCTGTAGAGCAGGCTGGCCTTGAACTCAGAGATCTGCCTGCCTCTGCCTCTGGAGTACTGGAATTAAAGGCGCCCACCACCACCTGGCAATAATAATAATTTTAAAAAATATGCATATCAGGGGCTGGAGAGATGGTTCAACAGTTAAGAGCACTTGCTGCTCTTGCAGAGGACCCAGAATGGGTTCCCAGCAGCAACATGGTGACTTAAAACTATCTGTAACTCCAGTTTCAGGGGATCTGATGCTCTCTTATGACCCCTGGAAGCACCAGGCACCACATGATACACATGAACACATACAGGCAAAAATCTCATCCACATAAAATAAAAATATGTATATTAATCCAAGGATGGTGGTGCATACTGGATCTCAGAAAGTGGGAAGCCAACCTGGTCTATATAGCAAGTTTCAGGCAAGCTGAGGCTACATAATGAGACCCTGTCTCAAAAAAATGTATATCAATCTTTTTATAAAGAATATATATACATGTAAAGATAATATATATCATATATGTGTGTACATGCATGCATCCGTGTGTGTGTGTGTGTGTGTGTGTGTGTGTGTGTGTGTCAGTGTATTTGATTTTTAAGCCATTGAGTCAAATTCTGGCCCACATTTTTAAAAACAATGTATAGAAGCTGGAAAGAGAAAAATATCAGAGGTGGTTAAACGTGAAAAAACAAGTTCAGGGGCTTTGCACCTTGAAATGGAAGGCTGATTGGTTGTACCTTCATTATTAGGTTTTCTAGAGTGTTTGTAAGGGACAGGCTGCTCTACTGTTCTCCTGAGTCAGTGAACTGGATACAAGCAAATGGACATAAATGAATGTACAAGAGAAAGCCTAATTGTTTAGAAGGAAGAAACTTGCTAGCTATATAACAAAATGCTCAGATTCACCATCTGGTAACTTCCTTTGGGAATAAACAATAAATAATAATAAACAATCATCTCTTCCCTTTGATTTTGTCATCAGCCTGCCACAAGCAGATGGCTTCCTCTACCAGGTAATCTTGGGAGGTTTGTAGATACAGAGAGATGCTTCTCAGTGATGAAAATTAAAGCCTCATACAAGGCATTGCTAACACAGAAGCAAATGCTTATGAATATTCCTGGCAGCCCAAGAGGTTGAGTGTCACAACTGTGATTTATTTGGGCAGACTCATAGTAGAGTGGTGTGGCTCACGGCATTCAATGACCGTCTAGCTAGCCGATTTATAATGGTGCCTTTCCAGAAACTAGAGAAAGGACTATTATTTTTGGAAAATTGAACATAAACTTAAAAACTATCCTCATAGCTGAATGTTCATCTGCATCCCTATGACCACTGAGAACATGTGAATTTGTATGCATGTTGTCTGTTCTTCTATAAGTGAAGACAAGCCAATAGCCAAGAGGTCTTGGAGGTTGGGTGGTTCACATCTTCCATGGCCTGCTTTCTTTTCAAATATAGGTAGATGAATGTTTTTATTAAGCTCCTCAAGAAGATCTAGGGAGGTGTCTTACCATGCAAGCATAAGGATATGTGTTCGATACCCAGAATCCCCACAAAAACCTGACATGGCCATGTGCCTTTATAACCCCACCTTTGTGAAGAGTGGTTCAGAAATATGAGGTACACACACACACACACACACTATACACCATACATACATACACACATACATATGCTACAATTACACAATACACACATATATACTCATGTACACAATATACCTACATGTACACACACACAAAAGCCAATATGATGGCTGTAATCCTAGCACTGGGCAAGATCATGAATCCACTGTTGAACAGACTGTGTGTGTGTGTGTGTGTGTGTGTGTGTGTGTGTGTGTGTGGGTGTACCTACCATGGATGCCAGAAGAAGCTACTTTATCCCCTAGAACTGAAGTTACAGCAGTTGTGATTACTACAAAGATGCTGAGAATTAAACTGGGTCCTCTTGAAGAGCAGCCAGTGTTCTCTAGTACTAAGTCATCCTCCAGCCCCTGCTGCTCTCTACTTCTTGGTGCACTGTTGCATATGGAGCTCTGGCACATGCACTGACCACCATCTACTCTGTCTTGTCCTCTCCACCATGAAACCCTGTAAAACCATGAACAAAAATAAATCCTTCCCCTCTTACATGGTTTCTGTTAGGTAGTATAGTCACAGTCATACAAAAGTAACTAATATAGTACCATTAGTTAGCATACTTAGAAATTTTATACTTTTCTATACAATTGTGTAGAAAAAAAAAAGATAGTAGGAAGTCTGGACTGCTATCCTTAGAATGCTCTTTGTAGGGTGAGTCCTCAGCTGACACTGGGGAATCAAATCTGGATTTGGGAAAGGTTCCATCATCCTCTAGCTGATGAAAACAGCTTAAGGTATTTATGTCATCTGCCA